CCCTCACCCGCCATGATTTAAAATGCTGTGTAAACATACTGTAAACATTGTGTCAACTTATTTCGCAAGTATGGAGAACAGCGATAGATGGACGGACGCTGAAGTGCAGGCACTTGTTGCAAATGTAGCACTGCCAGTTGTCGTTGTAGATTCTTAGTCCTCCTTTCCGTTCTTTCAATCGCTTTACGTATACGTCGACTTTCCATGTCCATTATTGTGAAACCTGCGAGACACAACAAAAACACAGCTCCGATCACAGCGTCTTCCATCCTCCTGTTGTTAATGTTGTTTTTCTTTGTTTCTGTTGTTGAACGCCGCGCACAAATGACGACGCTGTCGACCGGCTTACGTCACTTCTTAGTACACACTCTCGGTGCGAATGCAACCCTTTAAATGGTACTGGGAAATAGTTCGCGCAAAATCGTCCCAGTACTTTAGTACTGTACATTTAGTTCTGGAACTAAAGCGGTGCGAAAGGCCCTTTTGTTACCTGGCTCTGGTTAGCGCCACATTGAGACGACGTGGGTCGTTCAGGAAGCCGATGCCCTGGTGCTCGTTAGCTCTGACACAAGACAGGATGATGAAGTCCTTCTCTCTGCCCTGGAACGCATCCACGCTGGCGATCTCCACCTCCTGTAGACACACACAGGCATCAATACATCACCGACACGCTGCTGCCTGAGGCTGGATGTCAAACAGCCATTAAAAAGAGCCAGTACTACAGCAGTAATGATCTTACAACAAAATGCGCTTTTCTTGACACCCTAAATTGCCACAGTGAGGGTCTAGAGTAAAAGTATGTGACAGAACGGCTGAAATCAGTCTGTAGGTGCTGTTTGGACTCTGTACCTGGTATAGTTTGGTGTGCAGTGAGCCGCTGAACTGCATGTACTGCACCAGGTAAGAGCGCTGGCCCTCGTATGGTGTAATTATGCCGATCTGGTCAGGTTTGGCTCCGGCCTTCAGCAGACGGGTGGTGATCTTCTCCACATTAGCAGCCTCAGTCCTGAACACAGAGAGATGATTTTATCAGACCGGCCCTTTGAATGAGCTTCATCTAATGCTGGTAAGGAGCATTTATGAATGAGCTTATGAATTTTCAAAGGTCTCGGTTATTCCAGACTTTTGACTATTGGCATAAAATCTGTTCTGCTTCGTATTGGATTCTGGCCGAGAGACGACCACTTATACAGGAAGAGGCCAACTGATCGACATATTAACAAATATATATATAAAAAGGTTAAATTTATTTGAACAGTGCTTTTCACGATACACACCATTCCAAAGCAGCTTTACAGAAAGTCATGCTGTTATGTCTATAATGCCTTAGTGCTTTAGCATTGAGCAAGCTTTTGAGTTGGGTGATATGATAATATAAAACAATGATTTCAATAATTCTCCGGATCTAGATCTAGCTATATTATATTTATAATGTTGTCTAGCACATATACCAGTGACTTGGGTATATGACTGAACACTCAAAGGCAATTAAGAGATTTAAATGCTGGTCTGTTTTGTTCTATTAAGAGATTTCAATGTTTTCGGTTTTGTTCTATTAAGAGATTTAAATGTTGGTCAGTAATATCAGTCAGTAGCATCTCTGACTTCAGGCAGAATTACTTTAATGTCATGGCGTTCTTTACTGAGGCTGAAAATTACATATACATTTTTAAAGATTGTGGTTGATAATTACCTCTCAGGAACGAAGAAATGCCATTTTGATGGTAACAGGTTGTTTTATGTGATGTTTAGAGGCATAAATCTAAAATCCTATATAACCACTAATATATACAGGAATATACTTTTTTTTAACTAATTAAATATGTAATTTTTTTCAAATATTCTATGTGATACATCTGACTAATGATTAGTCTAGATCTGACTCCCCGAAACAGCACAAAGCCAGCCTATCAGATTGAGTCTTGCTGTTCTGAGAAAGCATTTTGTGTGCAACATGCATCTGATATTTGTGTTGAGAGTGGGATATCATGTTCAAATCTACCTGTTGAGATAGGAGGTGCCAGAACTCGCAATCTCCTCCTGGCCCTGGGTTACGTAGAAAAACATGGGCTTATCGGGCTGAGGCCACTGAAAGTCAAAGCCTTTCTTGATGCGATCAGCTGGAGAACAACAGAACATCATCAATGTGGCACACAGATATTTTCTGTCTCTATATAACAAAACAAATCTATCTAAACTGAACTTAAAGGGATAGTTCACCCAAAAATGAAAATTACCCCATGATTTTCTCATCTTCAAGCCATCCTAGGTGTATATGACTTTCTTCTTTCAGACGAATACCATCGGAGTCATATAAAAAAAATGTCCTGGCTCTTCCAAGCTTTATAATGGCAGTGAATGGGTGTTGAGATTTTGAAGCAAAATAAACTGCATCCATCCATCATAAAAAGTGCTCCACACGGCTCCAGGGGGTGAATAAAGGTCTTCTGAAGTGAAGCGATGCGTTTGTGTAAGAAAAATATCCATATTTACAACTTTATATACTGTAATCTCTAGCTTTCGCTAACTGTTGTACATGCGATCACAAGAGAGTGGATCCCCATTCACCGCCATTATAAAGCTTGGAAGAGCCAGGACATTTTTTTTATATAATTCTGATTGTATTCATCTGAAAGAAGAAAGTCATATACACCTAGGATGGCTTGAGGGTGAGTAAATCATGCGGTAATTTTCATTTTTGGGTGAACTATCCCTTTAAAGCGGTCATGAACTGAGAAATCAAAATTCCCTTGATCTTTTGACATATAAGAGGTCATTGTACTATAAACATCCTGTAAGTTTCAGAACTTAAAACTTTCTCTTTAGTCTAAAAACAGCTTATATTGAAGCCAGTCTGCCAAAACGACAGCTTGTGGAATGTGCCGCTCTATGACGTAATAGTGTGGTTAAACTCCACCTCAGCAGAAGATGATCAACGCCTGCTTCTACATTACTTCCTGTTTAGCTCCACCCACCGATTCTACACCACTGTCTGTTTAGCTCCGCCCACCGATTCTACGCCACTGTCTGTTTAGCTCCGCCCAACGATTCACACATGTAGTGCAAATAACGAGAGCAGCAAACGCAAATCTACGCAGAAACCAAACGATAAAGATGCTCCGAAGAAAACAAGACACTCTTCAATGCCAAGATGTGAAAAAACAGTCTCTGCATCGCCTTCCTTCTGATCCCAACATCAGGAAAAAGTGGATGAACTTTTAATGATTCATTTTATAAACAAGGCACAATTCGACGCCGGATTTTCAGAAAGATTGAAACTAAAAGACGATGCTGTGCGTCTATATCGGATCTGACAGTAATGTCGCATCACACGAGTACACAACTGTTAGCCAATCACAGCAGTGAACGTTTACTTCCGAGTCTACAATCCACCACACTATTCAAACTATTCAAAGAGCGATCAGATGAGAGAGGGTCAAAACAGGACAGAAAATAGCCTATTACTTCTGAATTATGAAGTAAAAATCTTGATGACATAAGTGGGCCTCAGAGAACAGTACAAAATAAAAAAAAAAAGGCAGTTCATGACCCCTTTAATCCAATATCAGCCCAAGTGAATTTTATTACAAACAAAAATATGCCTTTCTTCTTTCAGACGAATACCATCGGAGTCATATAAAAAAAATGTCCTGGCTCTTCCAAGCTTTATAATGGCAGTGAATGGGTGTTGAGATTTTGAAGCAAAATAAACTGCATCCATCCATCATAAAAAGTGCTCCACACGGCTCCAGGGGGTGAATAAAGGTCTTCTGAAGTGAAGCGATGCGTTTGTGTAAGAAAAATATCCATATTTACAACTTTATATACTGTAATCTCTAGCTTTCGCTAACTGTTGTACATGCGATCACAAGAGAGTGGATCCCCATTCACCGCCATTATAAAGCTTGGAAGAGCCAGGACATTTTTTTTATATAATTCTGATTGTATTCATCTGAAAGAAGAAAGTCATATACACCTAGGATGGCTTGAGGGTGAGTAAATCATGCGGTAATTTTCATTTTTGGGTGAACTATCCCTTTAAAGCGGTCATGAACTGAGAAATCAAAATTCCCTTGATCTTTTGACATATAAGAGGTCATTGTACTATAAACATCCTGTAAGTTTCAGAACTTAAAACTTTCTCTTTAGTCTAAAAACAGCTTATATTGAAGCCAGTCTGCCAAAACGACAGCTTGTGGAATGTGCCGCTCTATGACGTAATAGTGTGGTTAAACTCCACCTCAGCAGAAGATGATCACCGCCTGCTTCTACATTACTTCCTGTTTAGCTCCCCCCACCGATTCTACACCACTGTCTGTTTAGCTCCGCCCACCGATTCTACGCCACTGTCTGTTTAGCTCCGCCCAACGATTCACACATGTAGTGCAAATAACGAGAGCAGCAAACGCAAATCTACGCAGAAACCAAACGATAAAGATGCTCCGAAGAAAACAAGACACTCTTCAATGCCAAGATGTGAAAAAACAGTCTCTGCATCGCCTTCCTTCTGATCCCAACATCAGGAAAAAGTGGATGAACTTTTAATGATTCATTTTATAAACAAGGCACAATTCGACGCCGGATTTTCAGAAAGATTGAAACTAAAAGACGATGCTGTGCGTCTATATCGGATCTGACAGTAATGTCGCATCACACGAGTACACAACTGTTAGCCAATCACAGCAGTGAACGTTTACTTCCGAGTCTACAATCCACCACACTATTCAAACTATTCAAAGAGCGATCAGATGAGAGAGGGTCAAAACAGGACAGAAAATAGCCTATTACTTCTGAATTATGAAGTAAAAATCTTGATGACATAAGTGGACCTCAGAGAACAGTACAAAATAAAAAAAAAAAGGCAGTTCATGACCCCTTTAATCCAATATCAGCCCAAGTGAATTTTATTACAAACAAAAAATAACTTGAGATGCCGTACCAGCGGTGACGCCGTTCTGCAGAGAGCCCTCGTAGAAGATATTTGAAGGGAAAGCGCTGAGGGCCGGGTGCATGCGGTACTGCACCTGCAGACGGATGGGTCTGATGCCCAGGACCACCAGCCTCTCAAACAGAGACTGAGACAGACCTGCTTTAGCCGCCTTCTTGCACATGACCACAGGACCCAGCTGACAGTGGTCACCCACCAGAATCAGCTATCAGAGGGAGAAGACAGTACAGTTACTAAACAGAAAATGTACAGTTACATGGAAGAATATACACACAAATTTAAAGTACCGTATTTTCTGGAACACAAGTCACTTTTTTTTAATCAAATAAAATGTGCTGTGACTTGTATTCCAAAATATTCCAAAGCGACTTTCAAACTGAAATTAACTTAATAGTTACAGAATCATTTATTTTCCTCCTTTCGTTCACTTTTACTCTCTATAATCACTTCATTTAAAGTGGTAAAGTAGAAAAATACTGTAGTTTAGATATATTTTTACTTGTTAAAAATAACAGAATTCATTAACGATCATTGTTTTTCAAACTTAGTAAATATCTGTCATAAATATAAGTCAATACAAGGTAAATATAGGAGTCAGTTGCTGGCAAATTAGGAATGACTGGTCTGCATTTTTACAAAAATCTGCATTTTTTAAAATCTGGTCTGCATTTTGGCAAAAACGTTTTATCTCTTAGGTTTCAGTTTTTATCTCTCCTCACATTCAACTTTTTATACTTATTTTTTCATTCTTGTTCTGGATAGCATTAAAAGCAATATTAGATACTATTATAGTTTGTATTAATATTTAGATTTTTTTTTTTTTTACATTTTCTGTTTTCAATTTAATTGCAGTTAAAATTTTATTAATTTTGTTTTGTCTTTTCTTTTTTTTATTATGTTAATATTTTATTTCAGGTAAATTCACCTGATTAAATGTGAAGGATTCTTTGTGAAGTGAGTGAAACTAAAACACATTTGGTTTTATTTACCAGCATTTTGCATTATTTCTGAATGTAATAATAAAATGCGACTTGTCTGTTTCTTCTCTCAACAATGCAATTTTGACCAGGTGCGACTTATATTCAGGTGCGACTTGTTTTCCAGAAAACACAGTATATTTGATTACAGATTAATAAACATCAGATGAAGGAGAGTGTGTCCTATCACATACCTGTTTGGCCCCGAGCACCACTGGCACCATGCACTCGGGCTCCGTGGCCTGTGTGCTCTCATCAATAAGGATGGAGCGAAACTGCATTTTAGCCAGGCGAGGGTCACCCGCACCCACGCATGTGCAGCAGATCACATCTGCATTCTGAGAGACAGAGACAGAGAACATAAGATGTTTTTTTGTTTTTTTTATAGAAAAACGCATCACACAAAAACGCACCATTTCTTGTGCCAAAGAAAACGGCTTAAGCATTATTGTGCTCCACCGCCTGCAGCGTTTATATAAATAAACACACTGAAAACTCAACTTCAGACTCTAGAAAAGCTTCATTTGGCTGTGTAATATTCCAGCATTTAGTGTCTATCGTGAAGTCAGACAGGTACCATGAGCAGCTCTCTCTCAGCGGTTCGTTTGAGAGCTCGGTAACGTTTCTCATCAGAAGACGACAGCTCGCCAGTTTCGTCCTTCAGCTGCTGCAGTTTCTGCAACTCTGGCATGCTGCAAAAAGGACAGACACACATCAGTCCTCATAAGATCTCTGCCACACTGCCAAACATTCAAATCAAAGCATTCATTGCACAAACACATAGAGATCAAATAGTGCATTTTTAAGTAACGCATTAAGAACTGAAATGTCCGTACCTGTCCATGTTGCGGATCTGATTGTGCAGAGCCAGGAAAGACACAGGTGAATCTATGGCCTCACGACTCTTAGCGCACAGACGAACCACCTTCAGTCCTGTCTGATGGATCTTCTCTGTCAGCTGATCCACTGCGATGTTACTCGGAGCACAAACCAGCACCGGACTAAACCATCAGATGGACACAAAAACAAAAACTCAGTTATTATTCGGCCCTATTTTCCCCAAATTTCATTTTTCTGTTTACAATTTTCTAGATTATTTTATTTCCTTTCTAATTTTTCTGCATAAAACGGATTCTGGATCTGTTTTAAAAGTAAAATTAAATTTTGTAAATCAAAAAGCATACGTAATTATTGAAATCGTGAAATGTATACAATTTAACAGCAATTTATTAAAAGTTCAATAAATATTATTTTTTTTGGCCTTACGAAATCAGTTTTATTTTTCCCCAAATTCAGTTTTAATTTAACAAATAACATTTTTACAATAATAAAAAAAATGATGTGCTTTTGTTTTTATTTATGATTTAATTCAGATTTATTATCAAAAACATTGGTAATCAAACAAAGGCATAAAACATTGAATTAATCTTATAAAATGTAAGCAAATTAAAATTAAAACATGGAAGATAGACTGTAAAAAATAAAGTATTACATTTATTATTATTACTCTTTGAAAGGTATTCTACTGTACAATAATAATATGTCACAATTTCTTCAACCTAATTTTTTACCATAAACATCACTTCATATTTAAATAGTCTTTTTGTGGTTTAATATTTCACAGACAAATTTTATTAGAAGTGTACAGCTCTACTTTCGATTTATTCAATTAAAATTTGCCAAATTCACAGACATTTTGCGTATTCCTAAATTCCATGTTTATGACTGGATTATGCTATTCCATCTGCGTTTTCCACAATGTGGAAATCATAGGACCCTAATATTACAAATATCAGATATTTATAAAATGATATGAGATTAAATATTCAATACAGTAGCCTTTTAACTAAATGAATGAACTCCATTTCCAGTTGAAATAGTATAATGCATGGTAAATTCAGTGAGGTGTTCAGTCTAACACTGTCATGAACGTGTCTCACCCATTGCCCTGTCTGGCCAGATGGTAGACGATGGTGGCAGAGGTGACAGTCTTTCCGGTTCCTGGAGGCCCCTGGATCAGACTGAGGGGTCGCTGCAGCACCGTCTTCACAGCATAAACCTACATCATGCCAAAACAACTTGAGTTTCAGAAACTTGAAGACGAAGGGCTGAATCAGAGGACGGGGGCTTCAGACAGCTCTGTACCTGCGAGTGGTTGAGGTCTGGCAGGCCCTGTGCAGTGAAGCGTTTGGGCAGCTGGCATTTGATGATAACGTCCTCCACCTCATGACCCAGAAGCTTGTGGTAGATGTAGCCGGACACAGAGGTCTCGTCCACGGCAAACGTCTTCAAGGCGCTCTGCATTCTACATAAGACAAACAAAAACAGGTTCACAGATCATTAGACTATTTCAAGTAATAATTAATCTGAAAATTATAATTGCAACACAAAGGTGTTTTTTTTTCATACAATTACAAATAATCAGGACTGGAGCTTTTAAACTTACATTTTTGCACCAAGAGCTTGTAACACTCCAAAGAGAAAGGAAAAATTGAAATCGCATCATATGACCCCTTTAAAAAACGCAAAAGACCAATAGAAGTATCACAGGAGGAGTCTGTGAGACTCATGCATGATATACCTTGAGAAGTCTTATGATAGCTTTATGTGAAAAATCTAAGTAGTTTATTATGCAATCATTGATGATCTAGTAAAATCTTTTTGGACTCAGAAAGCTCCAGTCTCCACTGGTTGTAATTGCATCGTTACTTATTATAAATAATACTAAACTAAAACAATAAAAAAAAACATTTCTGTTACTTGAAATAAAGTGTTAACTGAAATAAAATATTTTTAAAAATTTATTTATTTCAGCTAGTTGCCAAGTAAAGCTGGGTATCATTCAAAAATTTTCGATATCGATACCGATACCTTGACTTCGATACCGGTTCCTGAACAATACTTTTTTCGATACCAATTTATGAAATCAATTTGAATAAAATCACATTATCTAAAAAATATATATATTGGTTTTATTTTTCATGGTGGTTTAAAGTGAGTTTTGAGTAAAAGCGGAATATAAATCTTTATTTATTGTCTTATGTATCATGATGTGTGCATGAATGGTCACGTAACACGCGCTTTCGGTCGTGTAGTATGAACGGACTTCAGCATATGATGTTGCTCCACGCAGCTCCCGCACTACTCTCCATTGGAAATGAATGACTTCCGGTCTGTTGTTTGTCGGAGATAGTGGAAAGCCAGCTTGAAACGCAGTGGAAATGTCAGTATGACGAGGATCGTTTTCATTTTAAAACAAAAACGTACTAGTGTAAATATAGCCTTACATCTAAGGGGGCTGGGACACATTCACACTACAGCCTCACATGTGAGAGTATCTCTGAGAGTGTAACCGGTGTTAACTACAGTAGTAGGTGTGTTCGACTTGACGCGGACCGACTGTGCAAACTGATCTAACTGACTAATACAAAATGACAAAAACACAAAAAAACAACTAACTAATTTTTTTTATAAATAATAAAACTAAAATTAAAATGGAAAATATATAAATAAATATTAATTTAAAATATTCATAAAACAAAAAGTATCAACACTGTGGCATGGATAAAACCAGTATATTCTTCATAATTTTATTCAGTCCACAAAAGAAAAAAATCATGTTTGGATTAACATGAAGGCAAGTAAATAAAAGCTATTTTCATTTTTTGGATGAATAAAATGTAAATAAAATATTTTAAAATAAATTTTATTTCAGCTAGTTGACAAGGCAACATTTCTCATTTTTATTTAGTTTAACTTGATGTACTGAAATTTCTAAAACTCAAAAATGAATAAAAACTACAAAGATATATACAAAAAAATTATAAAAATGACAAAAATACACAATAAATTTACTAAAACTTTAAAATGTATATGTAAAATATACAAATAAATACTATTTTAGAATGTTAATAAAAAGGAAAGTAGTATCTCAATACTAAAATACTCTTGCATGGACAACATCAGTACATTCTTCATAAAATTTTCCTTTTGCATCCATGAAAAAAAATAAAAAATAGCAATTGAGTAATTTAAATCAACATGAAACTAAATAAATTAAAGCAATTTTAAATTTTGGGCGAACTACTTTTTGGGTGAATTATACTGTATAAATGTAGCAAAGCAAATGGAAACAGTTTAATGGACTAGTAAAAGTGTAAAAGTGACAGCAGGACTAACCGGTCAAAAGATGTCGACTTCCAGACAAAGTCCACCTGGAAGTTATGCGGCACCTCCACAGGAGCACCAGCACTGCTGCGCAGCTCGATGGCAATTTCATCTCCATAATCTGAGAGGATCTCAGTTAAGGAATAAACCGTATAATACAGTGTCCTGTAAGATACTTACAAACTCGCACATCAAAACAGCACAGTAAGAATAGGCAACTGACTTTCTGCTGATATAAAGAGTGCTTGCAAAACTCACGGTCACGATGCAAGTCTGTTGTATGGAGTTTTGGTATGCAGAGGTTGCAATTATGTTGCTATGCAGTTGCTAGGGTGTTCTGGGTGTTTGCTTATCAAATCATAAATCCTACGTATGAGCAATGCATGCTTAAGCCCATTATCAAGAGAGAATAATTGTGTGACAACAGCGAGTTTGAACTTTGCTGAAAGTATACTGTCTGGGACTTTGATGACGTGTCCGATTCCTTTCCACAGCGGAGCCATGTCTCCTTTATAGCGCAGACAGATCTCGTCTCCTTGCATCAGTCGCATGTCTGATAAACATCACCCACACCGAGAAAACAATGTCAGATAGAACACATCCTGTGGATTTATGTTTGAATAACACTAATTGAGCTATATATCCATCACATACACAGTACAGCACCACAAACACACATGCGCGCACACACACACGCGCGCACGCACACTCAGGTCCGTGCACACATCGATGAGGGATGCATGGGACACGGTGTTAGGGATGGGATGGATATGAACCACTGGTAGACACAGAAGATGCTGAAAGTAAATATTACCACCTGAATCCGTCTTGGGCAGAGTGAAATAAGCTATCCGCTTTTTATTCAGTCCCAAATCCCACCTCACTGTAATATTGTCTTGAGTCTGAAGTAAAAAGACAGGAGACAAGCAAGCAGAATAAATATGAAATGTTTTAACATTCGCAGTCTGACACATATTAAATCTGATTCTGTATTTGGACTTTGCAATTATAAACAACCTCTCTAAGAGAAAAGAATCTCAGGTACAAGAAAAGATCAACACAAACACATGTGAACGCCCATCTAATTAAATTGATTAAATAGAATTTAAAATTAAACTAAAACAATGCGGCTGCACAATTAATGGAAATAAAAATGGAATCACAATATAATTTATAAATATACTTTTAGACACACAAGATATGAAATTTCATCCCATATGAAAACTATATCACAGTTCAATTTGCAATCACAATATCTGATAAATTAATTGCACTATAATTAAGTCATGCAGCCCTAAAATGAATTTTAAAATGAAAAAATATTTTTTTGCTGGCAAAAAAGTGCAACTGTCGTATTCCAGAAATAAAACTCCCATCCATTTTCTCAACATTGAGATTTTTAGCAATAATATGCAATAATGTATAATGTTTTTAGACAGACCTATGAACTGAAATGTAAAGTGATAATATTTGCTTCTGTACTAGCTATAAGTCAGTGTGATTTCAGCTTTATATTTATGAAATCATGTTTAATTGCCAAATTCCTGGCGAAAATCCTTACCAGATAATCACTATCAGGGCTGTTACCATAGAAACAGAAATCTGTTCTAACAGTGACCACACAATCCCATGAAGCATTGTGAATAACTGAATCAGTGTTCTTACAATCTTAAACGATTTATACCTTTGTATATATTTGAATAGTTTGTAATAAACCTTCAATACATCACATCATATACTTGGCAATAGTTCTATATTGCAGCACTATTATGGATTTCACAGTAGCTCATTTCCTCATAAGAGACGTTACACCAGATGTAATTGGTTGCAGCTGGTTTGAATCAAATGTTGAATGCTGAGATTTATTCCAGAGCTGGTTGGTCTGGTTCATGGCTGAACTATTTATTGAATTTGCCTATGAAGAAACTGAATGGGAAAAGTACTTTCACTTTTGAAAAAGTGGGTGGCCACTGTTGCACTCCATAGTTCAAGCAGGAAGTTAACCAAAAAAAATATTACTAACACAGTCTTCATCAGCATATCAGTACTAATGCATAATTTTTCACTAGTTTAACCATGGGAATTGCTGAAGAGCAGAAAGGTTTTCATACTTGGGACTCTTTGAGTTTCTTGTCATAGTCGGCCTCTAGTTTGACCAGCGGCCCAAAGATGTTCTGGTACTGATAGGCATCTTCGTAGCGTAGCAGAACGTGCTGAGGTTCCTCATCCACTCCAGGTTTCTCCAAATCTTCCAGGGTCGCTGTTGGGTTTTCCTGCAAACACAATAGAACGTAGAGTCATACAACAATAGGATGCTCAAAACTGCGTTTGTATTCATATGAAAGATGTACACCACGGTACCTTCCAGAGCTCCTCAAGTTTATTGATCTGCTGTGCCGTGATCTGACGGGCCCTCAGTTGCTCCTGCTCGGACGGGATCTTCACTAGCCAGGACAGGAAGCAGCGGTCCTGGATGAGGGGCTGCCACTGAGAGCTGTCCCAATTAATGTCCTTCAGACTGCTCTGACTGGCACACGGCTGCCTAAACACACAAACACACACCCATGAGACGGAGGGAGTGCACACGCTTGATAAGCGATGGCTGACAGCTTCTGATAAAACCAGCACCAGATTAAAATAAAAAATTGACTGTTGTGCCTTCACTGCTTGAAGTGGTGTGATTAAATTTACACAAAACATTTAAAAGAAAATATTTTTAAAAATCATTGTCTCCTGGAAAAATGGAGGAAATGGGTTGAATTTGTATCATGTAAATATGTAAATAGAAGGAGATTAATATATAAAATAATGACTTTTAATGACTTGAAATTTAATGGAATTTAAATTTAAAATAATGGAGTTTAATTAGGCCACAAGTTCTATCCCTGGACGTACATAGATACTATTTCTACCTTTATTTTAATTTTATTTTATTTATTTAATATTTACTTTTTTTTTTTTTGTAAAAGAAAAAAAAACACATTAGGCAATTGTTCTTGTTTAAATTGCAAAAGATACTTTATGATTGCATTGAGTACTATATGTACATTTAAATATGGTATATGTTTGTACACCCATGAATGCTCAAATTAAACATAAAATAAAATTCATCCAGTCAACATGAGGGGCAATCTCAGGAGAAAAAAAAAATGGGAAAGAATTTTGTGCATTGTTTTTATTAATACAAACTATTTATCGAAATGATATAAGAATATTTAATAAATTTTAGGAAAATAAAATATTTATAAAAATGATAAAAACATTCATTTATAAACATGCTATTATAAACACATTAAAAGCAATTATTCTAGCACACGAGTCACATCAAGTACAAACCTAGTTTCTTCTTACCTTCACGCCCAGTCTCATTACATAATAATGAAAATACGGGTAACATTAGGGACTTTCCCATTTCACATTTTCAGTATGCATGTACCATCACACATGCAATAGCTCAATATTAAGTTTAAAAGCCTTAAAGTAACCTGGTAAATACAGATTGTGTCATATACAAGCCATAAAGAGGAAATCTAGCTGGTACAAAGAGCAATTTTTATTGTTATTATTTAAACTAGGGATGCACCGATACCGATACTGGTATCGGGCCCGATACTGAGCTCCTGTACTCGTACTCGTTAAAATGCCCCAATACCAAACGCCGATACCACACAGCATGTGATCAGTGCCATATTCAGAAAAAAAACACCAACAACAGAACAACAGACAGCAGAATGGAGTTATAAGAGATTAAGGATTTTCTGTACCCAATATTTTAAAAATTTACAAATGCAATAAAATATTGGTATCGGTACACGGTATCGGCAAGTACCAAGAATAAAAGTATCGGTATCGGGCGAGTACTGGAAAAAGTGGTATCGGTGCATCCCTAATTTAAACCAATGACTAAATCTCCCTTTATTTACTGTTGCCTAAAAGACATCGATTTAGATTTGGGTCAACCTAATCAAAATCAACTTTTTCCATAATTACTGAATTTGAGTTTGTGAATCAGAATGAAATGGTTTGCAAATGAGATGATGAATTTTACCTGCAGAGAAGCACCACAACAGAGTCGGCTTTAGCCGGGATGAAGCCGAGCAGGAAGACATTACGGCAGCCGCAGTTATAGCACTCCAGAACCGTCTCTCCCAGCGGTCCGTCCTTATGCAGCGTCACCTCCTTACATTTGGCCCTCACCAAGTGGTTCACAATATGACTGAGAAAACAAACGTGACGAAAATCGTCAGCTTTTACGTCTTAACAACACAGTAGTTTTAATTTATCAACACAAACTTGGTGGACTCACCTGCCAGAGGTGTTACCGCGGCCGTTGCAGAACCATTTCTTGCTGGTGTTGCAATAGACCACACATGCTGGATCATGGATACCACAGTAGCTGCAAACAAATGAAACAAAACCAGCCCACAGAATGATTCCTGAAGCATTCTAATAGTCACACTGCTTATACACTGCAATACAGTACATTTACCACTCAAAAGTTTAGAGTCGGTATGATTTATTAAAGTTTCCTAGTCTCTTCTGCTCACCAAGACTGAATTTATTTGATTACAAATACGGTAATATTGTGAAATATTATTACAATTTCAAATAACTGCTTTTTATGTGAATACATTTTTAAATGTAATTTATTCCTGTGATCAAAGCTGAATTTTCAGCATCATTCCTCCAGTCTTCAGTGTCACATGATCTTCAGAAATCATTCTAATATGCTGGTTTGCTGCTCAAGAAACATTTCTGATTATTATCAATGTTGAAAACAGTTGTGCTGCTTCATAGTTTGGTGGAAATTGTTATTATTTTTTAGGATTCTTTTATGAATACAAATTTCAAAATATTTGATTATAATCGGACATCAAAAATAAAAATATTTAAACTTAATATTTTTATATATTTGAAACAGAAATCTTTTATAAAATTATTTAAAGTCTGTAATGACACTTTTGATCAATTTAATGCATCCTCACTGAAAAAAAATATACATTTCTTTAAAATAAAAATCTTACTGACTCAAACATTTGACAGGTAGTGAATGTACATACAATATATGCACATTTAAAAAAAAAAATTTAATTAAAATGGCGGAAAAACTGGTGACAATAATGACAATGACAAGTCTGAAAATATACACCTTTTTTTCATATAAATTATAACCTAAAATCTGGCTAATAAATAACTACTTCAAAAACAAAACACCTACAACAAGCATAATGTACAATCAGAGGGGTGATGCATCATCTTTTGTATAAATAAGTTGCCTGGGAAAACTGTCAATTATACAGCACAGTGTCATTACACAAAAAATACTGTGAGTGAGAAATCAGAGGCAAGTATTTCAGAGAATTGTGCATTATTGTATAGCTCTCACAGCTACAGACACATGATTATGGCGTATGAGATCAGGGCAGGTGTGTCATCAGTACCTGCAGGCGTGCACCGGCAGGTCTTTAGTGTAGTAAGTATCTTCCTCATCCTCCTCAAAGTTCAGCTCGGCCAGAAGTTGGCTGGTCTTCACCACTGCATCCTCTCCGTTGGGCAGAACGCCATCAGGCCCGTTCACCTGAACACAAAACATTTCACCTTACAAACAAATCTCAAATTGTACAATCCAGTGCACATTTCACCCTCAAATCACACACATCTGCAACTTGCACCAGCAGAAACACAGCTAAATCAAGTACAAATGCACACCTGGTTTAACGAGACTTACTCGGAGTCTGCAGCATATACTTAACAAAAGTCTGAAAACACAATTTTGAAAGCTGCAGCTCATGCACAAAAACAGATAAAACACACCTTATTATTAAAGCAAACATAACAACAATTTAATAATATAATTTACATTTAAATCACACCTCCAGGTTACAATTACCATACAAAAGCAACCCCTCTAATCAAACATGCTTTTATAAAACAGGTGTAGTTCACAAAAGTCATTCTGAAACACATAAATGTGAGATAAACTACTGACATAAACAATATACCACGTGTGTCAAAGATAAAATAATATGCATGTTATTATAACACCAAAATAGTTAATAAACATCTCACACCCCTGTGCTGCATTTATTTGATCAGAAATACAGAACAAAAACTGTAATATTGTGAAATATTATTGCAATACATTTTAAATAAATGCTGTTCTTTTTAACTTTATTCATCAAAGAATTCTGAAAAACACATCACATTTTTGTATCACAGGTTCCAAAAAAATATTAAGCAGCAAAACGGTTTCCAGCACTGATAATAAATCAGCATATTAGAATGATTTCTGAAGATCATGTGACACTGAAGACTGGAGTAATGATGCTGAAAATACAGCTTTGATCACAGGAATAAATTATTTTAAAGTATATTAAAATAGAAAACCCTTATTTTAAACTGCAATAACATTGCACAATATTACATTTTTTTCTGTATTTCTGATCAAATAAATGCAGCCTTGGTGAGCAGAACAGACTTCTTTAAAACACAATAAAAATCTTTCTGATCCCAAACTTTTGAACAGCAGTGTAAATGTGAGATAAACTACTGACATAAACAATAGCCTACACCACGTGTGTCAAAGATCAAATAAGATGCATGTTATTATAACACCAAAATAGTTAATAAACCTCTGCATCACATCAAACCTCTGCATCACACATGTCAGCTGTCGCTAACTCAAGCTATCTGTAATAACACCCCATCTCTGCGAATAAGCTGCTATAAGGTGCTGTTTAATATTTTAAGTAAATTAGTTTAACACCAACGTAGTCCCTCTGAAAGAAAGCAAACACACCTGAGATTTGCAGCTAATTAACCAACCAAAACAAACGATCTGACGTAACACATTTCATCATTACAAACAACAACATAAGAGCTAATATATTTAGTTTAATTTATTAGCAAACTAACTTTGTTAAAACACTAATGTAGTTCATAAAAGTCCCTCTGACAACTCTCTCTCTCTCTCAGGCGGCCTGCTCTCTCGTTGCTAACGCTACCGCGCGGCTAACGCCTGCTAGCTCGCCACATTTGAACACAAACGCGCTCCGGGCCGCCTGACAGAACGCTCGATTGTGCGTTTTGTACGTTTATACCTGGTTGTCGAGTTGGCTCTGGGTCTGGCCCTGCGTTTGGGTTTGGCTGGGCAGCGTGAAGTCGGTGAACTCGAACTCGGAGCCCTGCGTGTCGGCCCCGAGCAGCTCCGCTTCCTCCGTGTCCAGGAAGGTGAGCGTCTGCGAGCTCGGCCCGTACGCCTCCACACTCATCTTTTCTCTGGCTTTACTGGCCGCCTTTTCGCAGAAAACACCGAATAATCCCTCAGCGATGCGGGGGAAATGACCGACCGAGGCGCGTCGGGCGACGTTTGTTTTGGTTCGAAGTGAAGCGAAGGAAACGTCGCGCGCGCGACGGACTCGTGCAGAAATGAAAGCAAGCGATTCCGGAGAAGATTCGACTCCCACTCAAGTGACGTCACGGGCGAGCGCAACCGACGTAGAGCGCACAGAAGCGCTGACGTCTACACACACTTGCTGCTTTGCTTTGTTTTGTAAATAAATTGCTTACAGACCATTCAGCTTCTATTAATGAGAAATTCTTTACAAATGGAGGTTTAGCTCTTCTGAAATATTATATGCATTTTATGAAAAATATTTGGCCCAAATAAGCCGGCTTTGGTTTTGCAAAAGTCAAAATAAAGACAATAAAATACATTATGTGCATGTGTAGTGTGCTAAAGTGACAAGATCCGCTCCATCTAAAACTGTTGTATAATTTTAAAACATAATTTTTTAAAATAGTGATCTCATACTTTCTGTGTATTAAAATGAACTAAATTATTATAATTAGAAATTATTATACATTGGCAAATGGAAATTATTATACATTTAAGATTATTAATTCTAAATTATTATATTTTTATTACACACACTGGCGTTTAAAAGTTTGGGATCAGTAAGATTTTTATTACTTTTTAAAGAAGTCTCTTCTGCTCATCAAGGCTACATTTATTTGATCAGAAATACAGAAAAAAAACAGTAATATTGTGAAATATTACTACAATTTAAAAGAAGTGTTCTATTTTAATATACTTTAAAATATAATTTATTTCTGTGATGCAAAGCTGTATTTTCAGCATCATTACTCCAGTCTTCAGTGTCACATGATCCTTCAGAATATGCTGATTTATTATCAATGCTGGAAAGTTTTTGCTGCTTAATATATATATTTTTTTGGAACCTGTGATGCTTTTTCAGGATTCTTTGATGAATAAAAAGTTAAAAAGAACAGCATTTATTCGAAATAGAAACCTTTTGTAACAATGTAAGTCTTGACTGTCACTTTTTATCAATTTTACACATCCTTACTGAATAAAATTATGAATTTATAAAAAATAAAAAAAATTACTGACCCCAAACTTTTGCACTGCAGTGTATATAAATGTATAATATAAATGTATCTTTAAAATATAAATTTATCTTATAAATGTAAGATTTTGGAATTAAAAACAACTATTAAAAATAAGGCAGAAATCTTTGAGAGCTACAGTTTGTAAAAAAAAGTTGTGGCAAATAAGGAAACGCAACATAAAGAGAGTGTCCACGACGTGAATGTGGGAATTATAATGCATACATAATAATCACCACTGTAATAGATGTCAGAACATTTAATACAATAAAATGGGTCAATTGAAACAAAGAAATGCTGAAAATGAGTGTTTTTAGGCAACATTAAAAAAGATTCACAGCATCATCAGTTTGGTCCACTGGGTTTGTGATCGATAAGATTCCAGTAAAAAACAAGCTAAAGAAAAGTCATACGCAATTCAAATTACATTTTATAATATCAATTAATGGACTGAGAAATTATGGTGTAATATAAAATAATATGATATGCAGCATTTTGCAGAGTATGAAAGAAATGTAAGGAGAAAATCTTGAATAACGTCCGCTGAGAGAAGACAAACATCACCGTACAATCATCTCACGATTTCACATTTCATATAATTCACACACATAAAATCCAAACTGTCCAGGTCTTAACAGTGCTGATAGAATTCAACCTTACATTACTCAGAAGGCATCAGGTTCAGGTGTCTTTGTGTTTTATGTGGGACCCTGTACATAATGGGCTTGAAATGAGGAAAAACATATTTCGATTTGATGCTTGTATCCTAAAGTCTGTGTATTCACATTGGCACGTTAATAACCAGACAGACATGGTTATTATCTCTTTGATCACTGTCCAGCAGGCAGACCATAGCTTTTATTTGGTCATAATTTTAGGTCTCCTCTACAAACCCACCCTTTAGACCTGCTCTTCACTCTGTGATCAAATAAACTGTAATAATGTTTATACTTCTGTCCAGTGTGTGTTCGGGGTATAACTGAAAACTGCAGATGATAGAGACGTGTTTGAAACAGTATTATTTAACTATCATTGAAATACTATTGTAGTTTTAATTAACATTTTTAATTAGTTTTGTGCATATGTTTCCATTTTCATTTTTGCTAAAGTTTTAGTAATTTAGATGCTTTTTGTTATTATTATTTCTTAAATATTTTTAATATCCATAGTTTTCATTTTTGTATTTTCTGTTTTCATTTTAATTTTAGTTAACGTTTTAGTAATTTTTTGTTAGATGCTTTTTGTTATTATTATTTCTTAAATATTTTTAATATCCAGTTTTCATTTTTGTATTTTCTGTTTTCATTTTAATTTTAGTTAACGTTTTAGTAATTTTTTTTATTTTTTATGTATATATAGATTTTATTAATATTTTAATATTAGTTTTAATTTAATTTAAATATTTTGTCCATTTTCATTTTATGTGTTTTAGTAATTTAGCCCATATGAGCCATTTTCATATATATTTTTTTAAATATGTCTATATAGTTTTTAATATTTTGAATAAGCTTTTATTTTATTATTTTTTCCATTTGATTTTAATTTTAAAGTTGTAGTAATTTAGTTGTATGTTTGTCATTTTTTAAAAATATGTCTATATAGTTTTGATACTTTTTATTACAATTTTAGTTTTAGTTATTTTAGTGCATTACGTTTAACTAAATGAAAATTAAAAATGTTGCCAGGCAACTAACTAGATGGATTTTTTTTCAGTTAACGTTTATTTCACTTCAAGTAACAAAATGTTTAATTGTTTTAAATTTTAATCTGATTAATTATAATAACCCTGGTTTAAATGGCTTAATATTTAATCCGGTGAACAATGATTTTAGAAATAAGACGGCAAGAGAAAACGCTAGTTCTGCCTTAACTGTTAAAAAAAAAAAATTTTTTTTGAAATATGGTTCAAAGATCTACATGTATACGTAGTGTTTTCACATCAGAACGGTATTTCTAAGTCGTTTTTATGCATAATACCAAATCTCTGCATGTTTCAAGTGTACCCCATTAAAGTGCTTTCTTGACTCTTTGAACGCAGCCGTAGGATTGAGTCTAGCACACAAGTTGCATCTCAAACCAGCTGATTGATCCTAGTATGTAGCACACAAGTTAAGACACGGATGTCTTCAAATGTGCATGAACTCTTGAGTCCAAGGCGATGCTACATAATTGCGTATGAGACTCGGCCTGTGCTCTCACTGGTCGTGTAGACAGTGTTTCTTTCCCTTGTTGTGCTCCATCAGTTCAAGCATCTCCAGGATGACGGCCCTGAGGGCCTGAGCGAGCTGCTCCGCGCTGTAGGGCTTCCCTAGAGGAGGAACATGCACAAACGCAGACCTGCCCTCGCCCAGAAACAGAGACGTGTAGTAGGTGTAATCACACAGATACCTGTGGAAAGAGGACGGAGTGTTTGTCAAGAAATACACCAGTGCTCTGCACCAAAATAAACATTTCCTAGAAATGAACTCACTGTAGAAATGTAGCATTGCATCACTTGCTCAGCAATGGACCCTCTGCAGTGAATGGGTGCCGTCAGAATGAGAGTCCAAACAGCTGATAAAAACATCACAATAATCCACAAGTAATCCACACCACTCCAGTCCATCAGTTAATGTCTTGAGTAGCCAAAAACTGTGTGTTTGTAAGACGGCAAGAGAAAACGCTAGTTCTGCCTTAACTGTTAAAAAAAAAATATATTTTTCGAAATATGGTTCAAAGATCTACATGTATACGTAGTGTTTTCACATCAGAACGGTATTTCTAAGTCGTTTTTATGCATAATACCAAATCTCTGCATGTTTCAAGTGTACCCCATTAAAGTGCTTTCTTGACTCTTTGAACGCAGCCGTAGGATTGAGTCTAGCACACAAGTTGCATCTCAAACCAGCTGATTGATCCTAGTATGTAGCACACAAGTTAAGACACGGATGTCTTCAAATGTGCATGAACTCTTGAGTCCAAGGCGATGCTACATAATTGCGTATGAGACTCGGCCTGTGCTCTCACTGGTCGTGTAGACAGTGTTGCTTTCCCTTGTTGTGCTCCATCAGTTCAAGCATTTGTTTAGAGCTGTTTAAACGCTGCTTGATCTGTGCAGATTTCTCTCCTGATTCAGACCAGACCACTTTTTCACTGGACGAAGCGTCATTATGGATTATGGACTCATATTTTAGCTAGTTTGAAATATGTGCGTACGAGACTTGGCCTGTGCTCTCATTGGTCGTGCAGACAGAGTTTCTTTCCCTTGTTGTGCTCCATCAGTTCAAGCATCTCCAGGATGACGGCCCTGAGGGCCTGAGCGAGCTGCTCCGCGCTGTAGGGCTTCCCTAGAGGAGGAACATGCACAAACGCAGACCTGCCCTCGCCCAGAAACAGAGACGTGTAGTAGGTGTAATCACACAGATACCTGTGGAAAGAGGACGGAGTGTTTGTCAAGAAATACACCAGTGCTCTGCACCAAAATAAACATTTCCTAGAAATGAACCAGAACACCTTTTCACTGGAGGAACAGTTATTATGGATTATATGGACTTTTAGTTAAAAGCGTCTTAATGCTGGATTTGTTTCAGCTTTTGTCTTCTCCAGATGTTAACTGATGGACTGGAGTGGTGTGGATTACTTGTGGATTATTGTGATGTTTTTATCAGCTGTTTGGACTCTCATTCTGATGGCACCCATTCACTGCAGAGCATCCATTGCTGAGACACTGATGCAATGCTACATTTCTACAAACCTGATGAAGAAACAAACTCACCTACATCTCGGATGGCCTGAGGGTGAGCGCATTTTCAGCAAATTTTCATTTTTGAGTGAACTATTCTATTAAGAGTCAATCAGCATTTTAAGACAGGCTGGATTCAGGATGCACAAGTTCTCAGACTCACTATTTTTAATTGGATTGCAACATTTAGGACTCATATAAACAGAACTTTTGATATTTAAAATCAGATTGGATTCATTCCGACTGTTTTAAGGTTGTTGGTTGGTTTTATTTAAATGTATTGCCATATCACTTTCACAGGTTATAACATGGCAGATACAGATTCAACAAACAACTCAAATAAATA